ATATAATAACAATAATTATAATAATGGAGAAGGTAGGAACTCATCTGCGAATGTCATGTGGCAAGAGGATAAAACGACGCATAAAGTCAATTTTTTTTGGAAGAGACGTCAAATCATGAGTGTGTGTTTGTGTGTGTGTGTGTGTGTGTGTGTGTGTGTGTGTGTGTGTGTGTGTGTGTGTGTGCGTGTGTGTGTGTGTGAATCATTTTAGGTTAATCAATACAGTATTAGAGAATACAGTACAATGATGTAATGAAATCGCGTTATAACCTCCAATTCGACAGGTGGCAGCCAACCCATCACAAAATAACCGTAGAAGAAGAACGCGAAGCTCCAGCAACGAAGAAGTTATTTTTCCCCCCTTTCTAGTAAAAATCAACATTATTGAAGACTATTTTTACTGTAATCTTATTCCACATCAAATCAGCTTAGTTGCACGCCACGTTAAGGAAGCAATCTTGCATTATTCGGTGCCATTGTATGGTGCCCCATCATCGCGTTTACGGATGAAAATCAGCTAGCAGGATACAGTATTTGTATTCATTGTGTGAAGGATGCCGCTCGGGCTGAAGCCATGTTGCACCGTCTGCAAGACCAACTCGTCGTCCATGTGGAAGAAAGGGAACCAAGGAGATATCTTGTGCAACAATTGTTCGGTGAAGAGCAGCACCAGTCCTGGCGGCGGCGGCGGCGGCAGCGGCCCGTCGGGAGTCTCCACGTCGTCCAGCATTCAGCCCAGCAATGGTGGAGGCAAGCAGGTACAGACTGAGACACATTCGGCCAAATCGAAGTGGAACACAGAAGACAAACTATGCATTTGGATTATCCTCAAATACATACCACTTGGGGCCACACTAGGTATAAGCGTTTTAAATTAACCTGGTTATTTTTTTACAGGTATTGGCAATAATGGCAAATAATTGGAGTCAGGAGCAATTAAAGTGGAAGGAGTAAAGGAAATATGAAAATAATTCTTTTCTGAAGTTGAAGGAACATGGTGACGAATTAAACTAGGGTAGGAGAAAGGAAAGGAGGTCTACAAGGCAAGAAGAAAAAGCAGGTCTGAGGTGGAAGGAGGGGGTGAAAATTAAGGCTGAGTCAAAGAAGGTCAGCGTTAAGGAAGCAAATAAGAAAAAAAATGTTCGGAGGTGGAAAGACAATGAAAACAGGTCTAAGGCGGAAGGAAAGAGGTAAATGAATGGAGGGAAGAAAGCAGATCGGGAAGGAAGGAAGAAATAAGTGGGTATAGGTGGAAGGAAGGTGAGAGGTCCAGATGGACAGAGTAAAAAAACACTACAAGGAAATTAAGCAGTACTAGGTTTTAGTCAAGGAAGTAAGAAGCATTATATCTTTATTAAAAGCATAAGCGTTGTTCATTGCAGGCATAGTCAATTAATGATTGCAGGCATACGCGTTCATCTTTGCAAGCATAATCAATTTATCATTGCAGGCATAAGCTTTCTTCTTTGTGAGCATAATCAATCAATCAATCAATTTCAAAATAACAATCATCACATTAATAATAAGCGAATGTATGATAACTATAATAATCAATCTATCAGAAACAAGAATAAAAGCAGCTGTTTGAGGGAAAGGAGGAGGTTAAGAAGGAAAAGATGCCAGAAACAAAAACTTGTAAGTGTAATCAACTGTAACTGTATTGCCTATGCTAAAGCAGATTTTCAGTTTTTTTATTTCTTTTTGTGCTGTTCAGTCAAAGCAGGAGATCCACAGGCGGTCGGCACGCCTACGGAGCACCAAATACAAAGCCCCTGCTTCCGAGAAGAAAGTGTCCACCAAAGGCAAAGGAAGGAGACACATTTTTAAACTCAAGAATGTAAGACACACATCTATCTGTTGCTTGAATGCGTACTATTTCTCCCCACCTCATAAACCCTCATCTCTGCCTTCTCAGCCAATCAAAGCACCCGAATCAGTCTCCACAATCATCACAGCCGAGTCCGTCTTTTATAAGGTACTCGGATTGATTTTTTTTTTCCCCCACTGTCGCATTGGATTTTTCTAAGCGGTGTGGCGTCACGGCAGGGCGTGTACTACCAGATCGGCGACGTGATCAAAGTGACGGACGAGGAGGACGGGAAGGCGTACTACGCCCAGATACGAGGCTTTGTTCAGGACCAGTACTGCGAGAAGAGCGCCGCGCTCACGTGGCTCATTCCCACGCAGGCCAGCCCCAAAGACCACTTTGATGCCGGCACCTACATTTTGGGTGAGCCAACTACACTCCCCTGTTCAAATTCAAATTTCTTCGTGATCATTTTGCGCACTAAAATCATGACGTGAGATTGACGTGAGATTTTCATACGTGTCATCACCATTCCACACGCACTGCTCCTCTGTCCATGTGGCTTTGGTTTCGAATCATCTTCATGTCCTGAAGGTGAATCTTTTTTTTTTTTGTATTTGTTTTTGTTTTGAGGTCCGGAAGAGGACCTGCCCCGGAAAATGGAGTACCTGGACTTTGTGTGTCATGCGCCGTCAGAGTACTTTAAGTCGCGGAGCACGCCGTTCCCCACCGTCCCCGTGCGTCCGCAGAAAGGTTACATCTGGACGCACATTGGACCCACGCCTGCTCTTGCCGTCAAAGAGTGCGTATAGCACAGTTGCACTTTTAACCAGCAGGGACTTTGATCTATTTGTACAGTTTCTGGTATGTGGTAATTATGTTTATATATGTAAAAAAAAAAAAAAGACAGATTGGGACCACCAATTTGCAAAAAAACTTGTTTTGTTTTATCCAGTCACTAAGCACACTGCTTGTTTCCTTGAACGTCATCAAAAATGTGTCTATCCAACATTTTTCGTGTCTGGACTTTGGGAAATGGCTTGAGCAGATTTTTTTTTTTTTTTTTTTGGCCCCTGTAAGAAAGTTCGAGTCGTTGGAAAGAGTGTCATCCAAGGACTAAATTTTTCCCTCCCGCTTTTGTTTCAAAACAAAGGACTATTCATGCCATACCAGAATGGAGGGAGGGGAGTAATTTAACGCAGGGGCAGGGGACAGTGGGGGGTTCGGGGGTGGGGGCTAATGTTTTTCTTATTACTTTAATTTTGTTTTTCTTCCTTTTTTTTGGAATAAGAAGCTGTGTTCTTAAAAAAGTCATAAATTGAGAATAAAGTCATTTTCTCTCAATATAGATGTTTACTTTTTGGGGTAATAAGCCATTCGATGAAAATAGTTTAATAGTATCAAAGGGAATCTGATTAAATTCTTGCACGCATACAATGTTTTATCGTGAACAAATATATTTTTCTTAGCCATAAGATTATGGATTCATCTTAAAAATACAACTATTCTGGTGACTTTTTTTTCAAAGACCACCTAATATTGATGTAACATTGACTTGTAAAAATGACTCGGTTAAAAAAAAAAAAAGACTATTCACGATGTAAGATGATTTTATTTCGATTCTTGATAAATTTTACAACTCAACTCTAAAATAAACGACTTCAATTTTGAAAGTATACAATATTTTATCTTGATAAAATACAACTTTATTAGCATGAAGTGTGGTGTTATAAAAGTACTCTGGAAATAGTATGATTTCCCCCCGCCCTCCCAAAGGGAAATAATACAATCATACTGTAATGTCGATTACAGATTACGATACAAAAAAAAGTAGAACCTAATAAACTTTATTCTTCTTAAGATAATACATTCTTATAAAAATTGACTTTGTTCATGCAAGATTATCTTCGGGGTGGGACAAGTTTATTTTTTGCAATTTACTTTTTTTTTTTCTCCCCAAAAATTTGACTGCCATGAGGACTTCTTTCTCGGCCATTCGAAGATTCTGCCAAATTAAATGACCAGTGACCTGTGAAAAAGTTTGTCAGCGCAAACAGACCCTGTGACCGGCAAAGGACGAGAGACAGCTGTTGCTATATATAACCCGCACCCCCATCTCACCTACCGCAAGACCTCGTGCCTCGTTACAAGACCTGAACCAAAGCAAAACAAACGGACAGACGGCAGCAACGACAGACTCGTTTGTCAATCGGATGGCCCATCCGAGGTGAGAGCATGAAGTCGCTGCGCTTTCTCTCATCCGAGGCCTTCGTTCATAGCGGCCCGAGTGCCGAGCAGAACCTGGCTTACGTGTCTTTCGACGCATACCCGCACCTCTTCAAGGCCTGCTACTTGCACGAGCGGCCTGAGTTGTTGCGAGCGTTGGTGCGCACCTGGCCGCTGACCGAGCTCCACCTGGGGTCGCTTCTGGGCCGGACGCTCGACTGCCCCGACGACCTCACCTCCCGCACGTGCCACCTATGTCTCAACGCACTTTGCATCGGATTGAAGGTAGCATTTTTTCTTCTTAAAATTCGTGCTATTATATTAGCGCTGTCAGTTTAACGCGTTATCTGCATTAATTTAAAAAAATTTTAATTAACTCGACTAATTTTTTTATCGCGAGATTAATGCGGCACCACGTCACAGCGGCTGTTACGTTGCTCTAAAATAATAAAATGTGCTCCAAGTTTGAATAACTTTCTTTGTGGAAAATGCAAATATTTACTGAAATAACAATTTCAATTTTTGAATAACTGCTCCAAGTGAAAAATCTTCATGTAAAATTGAAAATCGAAATTGTTGTTTGTTTATTATAAAAACAATAAATCGAAATTGTTGTTTATTGTAAAAACAATAAACAAACAATTTCGATTTTCAATTTTACATGAAGATTTTTCACTTGGAGCAGTTATTCAAAAATTGAAATTGTTGTTTCAGTAAATATTTGCATTTTCCACAAAGAAAACGGATCCACGATTCCATGTTGATGAGAGCATTAAAATGGGAAAAATATGAGAAAAACAAATCAAAGGAAATTTAGAATAGATAAAATCTGTGATTAATTACGGCTAATTCTGAGTTAACTATGAAATTATACATTTGATTGCGATTAAATATTTTAATCGTTTGACAGCACTATATTATATACATAATGTTTTTTTTCACATATGTTGTGGTTGTTTTTTTTTTCTTCACAAATGTGGTTTTACAAACAAAACCATTACTCTCTATGCTTTATGTTTGCTTTGACAGTAAACTTGAACTCAGAGTGCCATCAAACAGCAAATTAAGACTTTGTTTTATTGTTTGGAAGAATGATTCATTACATGCCATGCTTGTGAAGTTTACTTACTAATCATTTTTGTATGCAACTCAAGACCAAAAAAAAAAAAAAAAATCTAGGAAATGTTTCGTTCCTCCAAAACCTTTTTTTAGGTCACTCATATGTCAAGACATTACTGTGGTTTGTTTCCAGAAAACCAAATTGTAACTGTTCCCGTTTCCTCCAGGATTACGTGCTGTCCCCGCCCGGCACGTATGCCAAAAGCCTGCGTGTTGTGGACCTGACGTCCTTGAGGGATGTGGAGCGGCAGGCGTGCCCATGCGGGACCACCCTGGGCCGCTGGGCTCGCACCGGGTTGCTAAGCCAACTGTGCTATGAGACGGTGACAGCCATGGAGGGCGGCGACGACGTACCCCCCTCTGTGTTTGGCACCGCCGTGGACGTGCGTCTCAACGGCTTCGTCACGGGCCGTAACTACGAGCTAGTGACGCAGGCCTTGATACTGGCGCGCTACGCGCCCCTCAAGCTACGCTTTGTGACATTCCGCGCCGATTCGTTGGCCCTCAAGCAACTCTTCTACGTCCTGCGACTGGCTCACCCCGAGGCGATGACCAAACTGGAGGTGGTGCACAACGTTCCTCTGGAGACCGTTCACCTGGAGGTGCTCTTCTCCAAGGTGGACTTCCCTAGGCTGAGGTCCCTCACGCTGCCGACGGGGTCACTAGACGTCAGGAGGTTGGGAGCAGACGACCAACAGCTGATGGCCGTCCTTGGGAACCTGATGGCCAAACTCGGCAGCCTGACCGAGCTCTCCATGGGATTCTCCACGCTCACCGGACACCTGAGGAAACTGCTCAGGTGAGACCAGAGTGGGAATCTTGAGAAAATGCCAAATCGACTCATCATCTGCCATTGACAGCTATCGACATCAAAGATTCATTTTTTTACTGGGATGGCCAGTGAATGAGGTGATTTGAGAAAAGAAGTACCGTATTGGCCCGAATATAAGACGGTGTTTTTTGCATTGAAATAAGACTGAAAAAGTGGGGGTCGCCTTATATTCGGGGTCTAGACATTATACCCATTCACGGCGCTAGATGGCGCCAGATATCATTGAAGTGAATGCTGAACTTGACTCCCCAGGCCAAAGTGAACCCCTGTCACGAAGAATAAAAATAAAAATAGCGGTAAGAATGAAAAGAGAAGAAAATAATAGAAGAGACAACAGAAAATGGAGAAACGTAGCGACAATCTGGAGAAAAGTGGGTCGAAAATCGGCCAGGTTAACCGGCAGCTAAGGAGACGTTATGATGTAATTTACATTTCAAAACCAGAAGCCATTCATTTACGAATGTGATTGCACTTTAATTTACATATTTAGAGGTTCAGATATTAAGATTTGAATGAGGCAAAATAACACTCTCAAATATATTATAATCATTTGTTTCAGATGTACTGTAATTATTTTCTGTATAAAAATTAATTTGGTGTTCAAAAAGTCTTTTTTCAACCTTGGGTTTTGAAAAAGAGGGGGTCGTCTTATAATCAGGGCCGTCTTATATTCGGGCCAATACGGTAGTATTTTATTTTGAAAAAACAAAAAAATATCCACAATAAACTTCAGCCCATTTATCAGTAACAGTGAAAGTGAGTGGGATGAATATTTACTTTCCAAGTCACTTTACAGTGTGCGCCCCTAAAATTTCAGATAAGACCCCTGTGCGCTGAGAAAAAAAAAAAAATTATGTTACTCTGCGGAGCCCTGATATATTGGAACGGTTTTCGAGGCATTTGGAAATCAATCCTCTTTTTCTGTGTCGAACCAGCCCCCTACAGAGGCCGCTTGAAAGCTTGGAGCTGGCCAACTGCTGCCTGAGCCGCGTGGACATGACCTACCTAGCCAACAGCCTGCACAGCGAGTACCTGTTGCACTTGGACCTGAGTGGCCACCCCGTTCTGGAAGACTTCCCCGCAGCCTTCATAAAGTTACTGGGCCGCTGCTCGGCCTCACTGGCAAGCCTGGCCCTGGAGGAGTGCAGCGTAGAGGACGCAGCCGCCTTGGCAGACGCGCTGTCCCGCTGCCAGGCGCTGGAGGAGCTCAAACTGCTGGGCAACCCTCTGAGCGGCCCAGGCCTGCGGAGACTGGTGAGCGCGTTGGCGGCAGGATTCCCCAAGCTGCGGTACGTGGAGATTCCCGTTCCTCGCGAATGTTACCCGGAGGACGTCACGTACCCGCTGGATGACACGGCCCTGCTGCATTACGACGGGGCGCTCTTTCGGGAGGTCAGGGAGCAGCTGTTGGGGATCCTAGCAGGAGCGGGCAGAGGGGACGTGGATTTGTGCACCCCGCTCATGGGCGCCTACGATCCAGATCTTTATGAGACCAACAACGAGCTTGGCGTGTCCATGTTGAAGTCTTTTAACAGCGTCATGGGGAACTTCATAGAGACCATCACAGAAGTCAACGACAGGAGGGCACAAAAGAACAATTAACCAGTTGGAGCATTTCGATGCAATGTACATGTTTGTGTTCATGTAGAATTCAGTGACTTGATTTTACTTCTGACTAATAGCTGATCTTCGGGGTAGCCCGTCTCCATACAGCATTAATCTAATAGCACACTTCCCCAAATGATTTTTTGTGTGCTTACTAAACAATAAAAAATAGCACCAAATACTCAAATGGCTTCAACATACGGTGCTTCCTTGACACCAAGATAACACCAGATGGAGCAGAAGCAATAATTTTTTTGAGTAAATAAAGATATCGGTAACAAAAGAAAAAAAACTGCAAATAGAAAAATTGAGGAATATGGGGCAAAACAAAAAAAAGTAGGACTCATATTCCAAAGCATTAGTTTTTTTTCCAAAATCATACATTTGGAGAATAAAATTTACAATAAAGTGTAACATTTTTGTGAAGAAAAGTTATCTATCGAGACATTTTTTTCATACCCCGAAGGATGACTTCTTTCCTAGATTTTTTTTTTTTGTGAGATTAAAGACCCACTGTATAATTTTTTTTCCTTTTCAGCAAACCCTAACTTTCCTTCATATTTTCCCCCAAATCCGAAGAGAATTTGATTTCTGTATGTACGTAATGATTTTACATAATAAAGCTGACTTCAACTGGCCTTGTTTCAAAATGTACATTTTAATGACGATATAGGCTTTGATTTCATTTTAAATACAACACGCAAAGATTAAGTGGCCCGGGTTGCTCGCTTTCATTCATTTCTTCATCCATTCCTCTTTTTCTTTCCTCTCGCGGATGACCTCATCCAGATACGGCATCAGGTAGTGCTCATCCTAAACACACAGAAAAGCAGCGTCAACAAGTTGCCTTTCAGGAAAAAAGAGTGCACCAACACTTTTTCTACCTCCTCGTATTTTGTCCACTGGTCCTTGGGGAGGATCTGGTGCTTCATGGACAGATCCAGAGCTCTCTTGATGCGGAACATGCGGTCATTGTAAACATTCTCCGGGAGTCTCCGCAGGGCCTCCTTTACGTCATTGTCCTCGTATATCGTGTCGTCCCGCATCAAACCTGCCACAGGGGAGTCAAAATTGAGCTTCTCTTCGCTGATTTAGGCTCACATTGCCTTTCCGTGCTTACCAATCTTGTTGAAGCCGCTCAGGTTGTAGTACCATTTGCGTACACTGGACAGAAGCCTGCCTGAAGCCACTGGGGGGGACGGGGAAAGAGCGGAAGGGTTTTAAGTTGGCAGAAGCACACAGTTTAGACTACAATAACTTCACCATGAATGATTATTATTACACTTTAAATGTTTATTATTTGACTACCGTAACTTGACCTTAAATGACATTTTCCCTGTCATTTTAGGCATGTTACGCAGGGTCTCCTCAAGTGGTACACCAAAGAATCAGAACAATCGAAAGGACAATCAAAACGATATTATAATTCCCCACGCTGGCAGATGTTAGCAATTAGCATCAGCTAGCTGAGAGGACAAACAAAATAGAGGACGAACACGAGTCAAATGAGTCCAAAAGCGCGCCATAGGCATATATTTCACAAAAGTCAATGCGAGTGGCAGTCAACACCACGCCGGCTTGCTTAATTCAATTGTGCCAACTTCGGAAGGACATAAGTTTTAAATCATTTCATCGGAAGGGACATTTTTTACCTGGTACCCTCGTCGCCATTTTGAGCTCTACGAAGGGCCGCGGGGCATCGTGGGTAAGGAAAGGTCGGGAAAAGAAGCGCATGCGCAAATGCAGTTTCAAAAAAACGCACATTTTACATTCTGCTTGTTCATAGGTCGACGCATATTGAAGGCTTCGGTCGTAAATATGAACATGGATAATATGACTAAATAAATATACTTTGACTTTTTCCCTGGTAAAAAAAAAAAAAAATCTGGAATGCGATTTAACACACTGCATATATTTTCAGACAAAATGAATGTGAGATGTTATTTGCTTTAAATTCCACCAGTGCAGAATAGATGCAGTACAGTTAGTGTCATGTAAACAGCTGAAAATGTAAACTAGGTCTAAAAAAACTATTAAAATGGATACATCAAGCAGGCACATTTAGAATTCTTTTACATGTGTGATCTCAGTTACTGTAGGCCTTGACTTAAAATGGAAATATTGTGAAAAACTGACTTTTTATATCTATATAGGCGGTGAATGAGTGCTTAGCACATAGGCCTCACAATTCTGAGGTTAGGAGTTCGAAACCAGGCTCCTTCCTACTTATGTAGAATTTGCTTGTTCTCCCCATACTTGTGTGGTTCTCCAGGTACTCCAGTTTGCTCCCACATTCCAAAACCATGCAAGTTACACACATTAAAGATTCAAAATTGTCCTTAAGCTGTGAAGGTGAGTGCATGAATTGCCTGTATGTGCAAAGTGAGTGATTGGCCACCAATAGAGTATGAAACCTGCCTCTCACCCAAATTCAGCTCCGATAGGCAACGTTGCTCAAAAAAAGCCACTTCCACTATAGCAATTATTTTTCTGCAAAACTGTCTTTAATTCCTGATATTTTGACAAACACATACCACAGGCAGGACATCAGGGTGCTGTTTGAAATGCTTTAAATATGTTTAAAATAGTGTGTCTTTCATGATTTCTACTCCTGTTCCTCTTGCTTCTTAGTTTAAAGTGTCTTTTGGAACAAGTAAAAATCTTCCGGCGTGGCCAAAGCCACCTCGGTGCAAAAAATGTCATCCGGAGATGACACCAAGCGCTCCAAGGAAACATAGTTGGCTTGATCTGGGTCATAGTGTGCCCTTCCTAGGTACTGCAGGAACAGGTGCCGCTCTCTTATGCGCAGAAACTTGGCATTAAACACCTGTTGGAGGTTCGACTTAAGAATGAACAAAGATACTTGGATAAACTACAACAATGCAAGTGAAAGTCAATGTACCTGTGGGAACTTGGCCATCAGATGATGTGGCACCTTCATGGTGTTGTGGAGGAAGTTGAATATTTGAGTCAATTTCCGCTTGTTGGTTGTCAGAATTTTGGGAACAGCCAAGACGATGTGTTGGATCTCATTGGCTTTGAAGCCGAGCTCAATTTCGCACACCTGGAATGACAATACACATACATACATTAATACAAACGCAATGTCAAGAACTTATGCTAATGCTCGGTTTTGTTGTATTTTTGTAATTGCATCACCTTTAGATTTTCTTTAACGGGCTCCATACTGCCACACAGCAGTCTAGGCAGACGTGCGACAATTGTACGAGTCTGCATGGGAAAAAAAATATCTCGTGAATATCCACATCTGCGTGGCTGATTTCTAAGAAGACAAACTAATGATGTCTCAGTTTCCTAAAACGATGCCATTTAAGCAGCGGAAATGCTTACGTTGGATGCACTGAGGGCCAGCTGCTGCTGATAGAAACCCAGACGGTTGTCCAGCCTCTTCACGCTGAAGTTGAGAAGGTATGGAGCTCTGGACACCATTGATGCGACCGTCTCTGCCATGAACCTCTTGGACTTGAGATAGTTCACCCTTCAAGAAGAGAACAAGAAAACATGATTAATTCAACACAATAAAAAGCTGACCTTAAAAGAGGTTGTCATAACCACCGACAGCAGTTAGTTGAGTTAATAATCTTCAAATGCTTGTAAAAAAAAAAGTCTGTGTAGATAATAAAGGTTCTTCGGGGTGTCACAGTTAAGACACTGGGACAAATTATTCCAAATATTAATTGATCTTAATGAGAAATCCACTTTAGATGGAAAATTTCCTGTCACCTGGCCTGAAGGTTTTCCAATTCCTCCGTGAGGAAAAACGGGTTGCGTGTGATAATGTAGCCCAGACGAGAGTCGTCCACGCCGATGCCTTTAAGGAAGAGCAGCCTCGGAGCCACATCCGTATGGAAGTCAAGACGGAGCAGCATGGAGCCGACGTTAGGCCTTTGCTCCAGCTTCCACAGGTTCACCCCTGCCAGTAAAACGTAATCATAAACACGACAAAATTATATGACTCGCGCTGTTGTCCATTATTTACCAAGCTCCACTAGTTTTGTGAGCGTCTCCGAATGGTCGACGTAGTTTCTGAGAGAGGCAGACACAGGAGGGATGGGTGAAAAAGGTTTTAGGCTCACAGCCTCTTCGTCACTGATCTCCTCCAGCGCATTCAATCCAGGGGCGGCATCCAGATCTGAAGGCAAAAAAAAAAAAATAAAAAAAAAACCCAGTCACTTCCCTGTCACGATCTTTCCAAATAATATGCCCACATATACGTACCTAACGTTGTGGGGCTTTCATTCAGCAGTACATCTTCCTTAAAGTGTATTAACTTTGTGTCTTCTTTATTTTCCTGATGTTTAACAATCAAATCGCTGTAAAAGCGGATGTGTTGTCGCTGCTGATATTTTGCTTGAGTCCAAGTGACATTTGGAGTTTGGCGAGCCCTCGTGACTTTGCAGCAGTGACGAACTTGAGTGCTGATGGTCAAAGCCGCAGTCTTGAGGGGAGGCAGAAGTCTGTGTTTGATTCGGAGGTGCCTACAGGAAAATGCCATTTTGCTTCCGCTAAACAAATGGCGAGGGGTTAGTTAGTAAGTTTTATACAAGCCCACAAACTTGTAGCTTTTGCATTTTAGCAATGTATAATAATACATACTCGCACTTTCTTCATATAACGCTGAACCTTATCTTTTATGGTGTAATGTACCTTGTTTCCTGTGTACTACAGCATGAGGAACTGTGCTATTGTAAACGATGCTAGCTAGAGCCAAATCATGCTAATGCTAATTAACATTTTCATCGAGACACCGCAGAAAACACATTTTACTCACAGTTTAAAATTTCTGCTTCATAGACGCAACACACAACAATGTAAAATGTTACTTTTTATGTATGGAACTACGCGCATGAGGAAATGCGTCACCATAATGGATGTACCACTTCCCCAAACAGGGTACAACTGCAAGTTTATAGTTTCTTAACACTGGTTTGGTAATATTTTAAAAATTATAATCATTCTAAAAAATAAGCTACTGTTTACAAATTTTTCGTCAGTCTACGCGTTGTTAATGTTGTACATTTACTAATTATACATTACTTATAGTACGATTGAACCCACCCCTTTTTCCTTGTTCGACGGTTAAGTCCAACCTCATTCGGCTCATTCTTTCCACTGTATTTGTTTGCTTAATTGTACGGGCATTTTGTTTTATTGATGCATTATGCTAAATGCAACCAATCCCAACAATGAACTATGTTTTATCGTAGTTTATAAATTGAAAAAATTGATGGTTTTGTCTTTCTTATACAGGTACTGAAGTTTTTCCACCGATTGCACGTTTACATTTTACCAGTCTTATTTCATTAAATTATTTGTTATAATTGATTTCTTTATTTTTCCACACACGTGCAGTGCTTGTATTTTGTACAAAGATTTTGTTTTGGGAAGCAAGCAGAGGGCATTATCAATAGTAAACGGTTAACTACATTTCCCCGAATCCCTTGGGGCATTAGCCGCCGTGCTGGATGACAGCTATCCGGCGCCGAAACACCGACAGGACACACTCTCCAACGCAAGAGCCATGGCGGCCACGGGTGGAGGGAAAATCAGAAGTCGGAGATATCACGTCGTCTCCAAACCTTACGCCAAGAGCAAGCAGGTAAAGCCCCTCCGGGTCTACGTCTGGAGCCCCCGAGACGAGCGAACAGCGACGACGACGAGGCCAGCGGGCTTTCTTGCATGTGTTTTTGTTTGAAGTTCGGGGGTAGACATTTTGCGGCCTACTCGTGGCCTCCACGCGCTTCTTAGCGTGTTAGCGGAGGCTAAGCCATTAGCGCCGCTCCTTGAGTAGCTTTGCGGCGTTCACCAACGCACTTGTTGGACAGCTGCCGTGTCAGCACGTCGATTTGTCCCGAGTGGATGAAGTCACCCGGCCGCGGGGCTGTGCGACGACACCCGCGTCAGTGGGGCCAATTGAGTCGTTAGCGGCCCAAAAAAAATGTCCCGACCGTGCTAGCCAGGCTAACAGCCGGCCGCCAGGCGCATTGTTGTATTGGCCTCGCTCCCCCGAGGGGGGGGTGGTTTACGTATTCCTGTTGGTCAATTGATTTAATTTAGTCTTTCGAAATCGCCATGGGGACTTGTTAGGGAAGTGTGTCGTTGGTGGTTTGGTGTTGATTTTGTGTTACTTGCGCGGCTGGGCTGGGGGGTGGCTAAAGTTAGCCGGGCTCAATTGCGCAGGAAGCTGTTAAAGAACCCCACATGGTTGCATTACCTGCCGCCTTAAATGTTCTCTTCGACTCCTCACATAACCGCGCTTTCGTCATCCCGAAGGCCCCGTTCTCTTCCCCGTCTGTTGTAGCGTGAAAGTAATTCCCGGTATAGAATTTAGTTGGCGCTTTATTTACGATCAATCAGCTGATTAGCCTGCAGGCTAACATCTAGCACAGTGTGTGTCATGGCATTGATTGATTTTATTAATATTGGTATTTTTTTAAGAATTCCCACAGCTAACGCCACTTAGTATCCCAAACTCTTATGAGATTCATTTGTTTACACTCTCCAGGTACACGTGGATCATCTAGTGACATCCAGTAAAAATTAGGGTGCAAGAGCAATTCTGATATTCCTGTAACAATATTGTTTTGGAGCCAAAGCGTGTCAAAAAGTCTGGTTGGAATGACGACTTCAACCTGTGTGCAAGGCACCAAAAGTTTGAAAATCAGGTGATGTGTAGGAATTGTGTGTGTGTGTGTGTGTGTGTGTGTGTGTGTTTTGGGGGGTGGGTGCCTTTTTGGTGTGACATTGCCGCCAGAAAATCTGGTCAAAAATTCCTTCAAATTTAAACAGTGTAACGTGATCGTTTCTCAAAATATCTCTGTTACCCTGCTACAAAAGACTTATCACTTACCCTAAAAACTCAGAAAATTATTTGTGAGAATGTTAGTAAGAATAGTTTGTCGTCTATTTACCAACGCATAAGAAAACAATAACTGCATTTAGGCTGACAATTAGCAGGATCTGTGTCAAGTTATTTAAGTTATTGATTGAGTTCAGACTGTATTTAAATAATCAACTGAAATGTATTGCATGTAAACATGAAATACAAATTGGACCAGCATTAATGTTGAAACCAAACTTGACTTCAAGATTAGGAGCTTTTTTCTTGTACAAAGTAAGTAAATAATGGAGCGATCGTTTCGCCTGTGTGTTTATGCCTGCACTTGCGATAACGGGTCGATCGCAGGTGGACGAACCACCTGCGATCGACCCTTGTAAAGTAGATATTCGGTCAAAAAAAAATTGGGAACCCCCTGCTGTACAGAAATGAGGCGCGGAGACTGTTGTCATTGGTCTACAGTCCCTTAGTCAATCAGGATGCAGAACACAATGCACACTAAATACATGGGAAACCTGCACTATAAAAAAACTGTCAATGAAACAGCAAAACCGTGAAAGGTGAACCGCGTTATAGCGAGGGCTCACTGTCCTCCAAAATGCCATCAAGACTCCAGAGGGTTCATTCCTGTTGATGGGCACACAGGTTAAAGTTCATATTTGCACACGGGTTAAAGTTCATATAGGCCTGACACATTCATCTGGCAAGTAAGCAGAGGGTGAACTTTCAGAGGTGGTGACAAAATCGACACCTTTTGGACAGAGCGCAGCGCACTGTGTTTGACTGTTTTATTACTATTACAGTGTGCGCGTTTATGCAGCGGAGGGTCATCCCAAAATGTGATTGTTCATCACAAGGGAGAAAAATATCGGCTTTTCCAGGCGTCTTGCGTGGGGCCTCGTTTGCTGGTTGCCTCGTGAAGCGTGCACACAGTGACTGACCCACTTCCATTCTTACTACACTTGAGGAATTGCTTCTCCTGGAAAACAAAGCACTGCAGCTGGTCGTCATATTCAGGCTGTAACTCTAAATTCAAATAGTCTTTCTTCTCATGGAATGTAGAGAAATATTCTATTTCTGTCATGCTGACTTTGCACTTCAGAAAGAGGAAGGGTGTGTGTGTGTGTGTGTGTGTGTGTGTGTGTGTGTGTGTGTGTGTGTGTGTGTGTGTTCGTCCACCGATCTGCGTGAACAGCAATTTGTTGCGTGAATGTTCGCAGCTGCAAAAACAACAAAAAAAAAACATTTTGTTACCCTTTTCCCACTGAAACTAGTGGATAGTTGTGATCCGTGGCCACAGGCAACCAATTGGCATATTGTCCCTTTCCCATTGATCAACAGAAGGCGATTCTGCGCCCCCCCCCCTTCCACCACTTTGCGTCTGGTTACGTCACCACGCTGTGATTGCGTAGATGACAGTGCGACAGACTTCTTGGTGGTAAACAAAGCAACATGGAAGCGAGTGTTCTTTCTTTTATCATGCTTTTTACCGTCCTCAAAGTGGTCGAAAAGCAGCGGAGGATCAACTCTTTGCTACTACTGAGACGACGTGAATTTTTATATACGAGGCCGATCGACACTGGTCAGTGAGCCTTTCCCACTGCCCAAAAATGCGTGTTTACCCGTGGTTTCGCGGCAGTAGGAAAGGGGTATGTGAGTGACAGTTGCACAAGGTAATACATAAAACAAAGGCTGCAGAGAAAGAACATTTTCAGAATCAATTATTCCACAGATTAATGGGATAAAAAATGAATTTTGCTCCAATAAACAACAAAATGTGCCCTGTGAGTTGCAGCTATTATTGTATCGTCGACTTGGGCTCGCCGTGCGTACGTTCCACAATAATATATGTGACATTGAGCATGCATGGATTGAAAAGGGCGGGGCTTGGGCTGGTGGGTGATGTGGGAGGCAGCGATTGAGAGTTTGAGTTAGTTGTTGTGAGCTCAGGTTAGCGGCCCCCTGCTCACTGAAACGTGAACATCAATTTTCTTTGGGGAAATCCGCCAGCTTCATGCTAACGCACATTGCGGAACACCACCGACGGATTAATAAAACTAGACGCCATGTTGTGGTACTCAAACTTTCTAACAACTTATATCTGAAGACCAATTAATTGTTTTTCTTTTGAGCTGCCAAAACACCTGCATGTGAGAAACCCTGCAAAACATTCTGCTTACAAGAAAACAATATCCCTTTACCAATAAATGTTTGTTTTTGTTTTTAATTGATTCCCCCCCTCCCCCCCAATCACTAGCCGTCAGGCCTCATCAGCCGAGTGACCGACACGGTCAAGAGCATCGTTCCCTCCTGGCTGCAGAACTACTTCAAGAACGGGGAAGCTCCAGAAGGTGAAGCAGGAGGTGGTGGGGGGGAAGGAGAAGGAGGCGGAGAAGCGGCTGATGTGACGGAGAACTGCCTGCTGCCTACCCCCAACGGCGGCAGAGAGGGGCCCCGCTCTCTTGATGGATGTCACTCACCTGAGCCGAGTACCAGTCACACGGGTTAGTTTTTATTCTCCTCATGTTAAAAAAAAAATATATATATGTATATATGTGTGTGTGTGTGTGTGTGTGTGTGTGAATATGTGTATATATATATATATATATATATA